TCCACCTGTGTTGGCCTTCTCAGTGCTTTTGGTCATCCAGTCACAATGTGATTCATGATACAATATGCTGTGCCTCACTGCTTACAGGATGGCTCTTTCTTTTTAGCCCAGCTCTTTTCCTTGTTTAGGGTTGACTAGCAGTCAGCCACAGCACACAGCAGGAAGGTCAACTTGCATTGACTGATTGCATCTACTGTCTCTGAGAGGCAGACCCTACTGCTTTTCCACAGCAGCCTTCTTCTTCCGCCTCTCTAACCCTGTGCACCATGAGTTCTGTCTTGCCTTTGTTTTTTGCCTTACTCCATCTCTTGCTGTAATAATTTTTGAGAAAACCATCTTCAATTGCTGCACATTAATTATATGACAACTTAGTCTGTAGTTCATAAAACGTGAATACCCTCTGACAAATAGTGTTATGCACAACTCATGGGTTACACTGCCAGAACCTCAGTAATGGTGTCTAGCTAAACCTAAAGTTGTTAGCCTAGTGTTAGTAGGGTAAGCATTTCTTGCACAAAATCTAAATTTTAGAGTTTCAACCAGGTTGCATTGTAGGCTATAGTTAGTGCAACAGAAATGAAGGAGTATGTATGTAGTATTAATTAACTCTGCTGATTGTTTACTTGCCAACGTGTAATAAAAGGGTTAATAATATGGTTATGCAGGAGCTACAGTTGGGCACATGGATCCTGAGTTTGAGTTTCAGATCATCTTCTGTCAAGAAACATTAAACTTGCCTGGTGTTGCAAACAAATTTTAGACTGCATAGGCTATAACATACACATTTTTGTCCATGCAGTTATGTGCAGCCTCACCAGCTACTGCTGGTTTAACATGCAGTTTTTATGGTAGTACTTTTGTACTGGCCCACCAAAATTACAATTTCTGCCTACAGCACTGATACAAATTACATTGTTTTTGTGTGTAAAATCTTAATCTGCAAAGTAGCAAATAACTATAAGGTGATAGAGTAAAATGTACAAGTTTTCCTCTGAAATACATATAACAGAGTAGAAGTATCAAGCACAATAAAATTGTACATTAATCGAAATCCTGCAACTGAGTGGAGTTTTGAAGACATTGATATTAGAACATAGTGTTACATAAAGGTGATATTGATTGCAATATTGGAAATGCAGAAACCAAACATTTTATATTTCAGCTAATACACATGATCAAATAAAAAAGTTCAATGTTTTGGCCTCTGCTGAAAAGATTCTTTATATTCTTTCAGTAAAGAATAAAATATTTCTGTCAAGAGCAGGAGTTGTTAACCTCTGTTAGCACCCTTTCTACTGGGTGACATTCAAACCCCATCTATGCTTCTTTGAGGGGTCAGTGCTGGCTGAAGGCCAGCACCAACACAGACAGAATGGCTAATGATAGGGGCAGCTGAAAAAATGTCAGTCCTTAAAGTGGCCATGGCATGTTCATTTCCAGCCATTTAATGTTTAATCTTGGGTACCTCTAAATTAGCTCTGCACCCCTCATAACTCCAAATAGTCTGTAATTATTTCACAATGATAAAACCCAAGAGCCTCTTCCTGAAAATGAGAACACAGTTTGTGAATGTACATAACTGCTGTCGGTGTTGTGTCAAAATCTGTTTGCCCATTGAGATGTGTTTCCCCTAACCTGAATCCTAACCACAACAACTGAGGGGAGCGCTATATGAAACAGAGTTCTGAACAGGGGCAACAGATCTTGAGGGAGAACACTTTTCAACACAAGGCCGGTCAGGAGGCAGGACAAAACATTGACAAATAAGCTACCATTTTCAACAGTGACAATACCTCAAATCCTACCTGACATGTTCAAGCCAGAATATGAAAGTGAACAACACGACAAACCTCAACAACATTAATTAATTTGAATTTCTCATCCATAGATAGGTAAACAACAGTATACAGTATGTACCAATGAAAAAAGATTTGTAACACTCTAAACAAAGCAGGTAATTGAGAAACCCCATATTTTAACCCCATATATTGGCATAATGCAGACATAGTAACTTCTCCAGTCTTACAACAATTCTCTCTACAGAAACAATGCATTAACAGGCATGCAATGTGTGTGTTTTTTTAAAACTTACACTATGTCTCACCAAATAGCGAAAATCCAACTGGTCATTGTTGTCATCTTCCCCTACAAATCCCTCACGTTACAGGCGACCACACACATTCCTGAAGTAGTGAATTTAATTCCAACAGGTAGTGTTGCACCAACAATAACATCATGGATCATTAGAATCCTCTCACCAACCAGCAACACATCACATGCGGCAGACACATTGGCCTCAAGCAGTCAAAACAAACAGGTACTGTGCTCCGGGGGAATCCAGTTTGATGAGCTGATCATTCACCGCCTCAGGGTGCTTCGCTGGCCAGCTGCTTGTAGGTTTCCAGCTGCTCTATTCAGAGACCCACTCAGGTAAAACATTGGGTCCATGTACATGAACATTCCCAGACATGCAGTAACCTCAGACCTTGTATTTTTCTTCACATCCTCTGGTCACAGTGCAGGCAGCAGGAGGTAAATAATATAAAGCACATGCAGTCAAAAAATCCCACTTTTAGACTGGCACAGGTGGATGTCAGGCAAGCTTGCATGAAAGCACAAAGCCTGGAGAATATGACCATTCAAGGAAATCTGTAAACTATTGCATAAGACTTTACATAGTTACAATAAAAAAGTCTTGCCACTGAGAGTTCATGAGACTTGTATAAACTGAGTTGCTTCTGCATAGAAGTACAACGACATAGGTACACCTCATTATTTGAGCTTTCAGTGATTAAAATAATCCATTGTTGTAACATTGTAGATAAGTCAGAAAACACAGAAAAGCATGCCATGGGCACTTTAACATTTCATCAATCCATAAAGACAGACATACTTTTTTATTCCATTTTCCCAAGTAGAAACTGTGCTTGTATTATTACTAATAATATAATCGGTGCTTTATATGTAAGGTATACATATATTCATGACAGTATTAAGAGCTACTTATACATGTAGTGAAGTGAAAGGCTATAGGCAATGCCAAACATAAACCTATGTAATTGCAGCACTGGAATATGCTGTCAGGTCATTACAGAAGCATATGACTTGATATAAATGAACCACACCACAGAAATAACAATGCAATGACAAATTTAATGAAAAAAAAATGTTGCCACTCATCTTCCAGTAAATAAAAATATTCTAAACAATGTTTCCTTTTGGCTATTAGATGAAGCAGATGATTTCATGCAAAAGCCTATATCTCTGTATCATATATAATTATTGTTGTCTCATACACAAGCACCCACAAAGAATGAAACCACCACACTGATGTTTCAGGTCATAAATATTATAAATGTAACAGGAAGAACAAGATACTGTTACAAGTAAGACATAACATTACCACTTGAGTCTGCTCAGGTGTCTTTTTTTTATATTTCTACTGCCACCATTAAATTTTGAAATTTAAAAAAATGAAATGATTCAAATCATAAAAAATGTGTCTCATTCTTTACCGTGAAAGCTGTTCAAAGTGCAGGCCCCCACCACTTGTTAGGTCACTGCCAGCGTACAGGCTCAGGAGAAACCAGCAAACATCCATGCAGGAGAGTGACTGATGAAAGGAGGAACTGAAGAATAATATATGTATGATGAGAGCAAAAGGATAGCCTATGGCAGCTGAGCAGCAGGAAGCCCACAGCCAATGACAGCACATCCTATTATGGGCAGTTACATTACAGACAGTGGTCTTTGGTAAAGCATTTACGCAGTTAAGACATCTTTTCACCTTCAGGTATTCAGCTGTTGATGTGCAGAATGACAATAATACCTCAGATGTCATTGAAAAGTCCAAGGCTGAAGACAGATTTATTTTAGTGAAGACTGCACAACAGAGCTGCACTTGTGTCACAGACAAATTACCTTATTTAGAAGTTGATGGAGAAAGGCGTCAGAGTCAGACCCACCACAGCTTAGCGTTTATTTGTGCAATTTCACACTAAAGCTGAAAACGTTCAACTTTTGACCCCTCCTTTCTTTCACATCAGTGTTCAGTTGCACATCACTGGGAATCACACAACACCATCAAAATCTATTTACTTGTGTTTCATAGAAGATTTAGTGAGGTGAGGCTTTACTGTACAAGTAGTTTCAGAAAAACACAGCTGCCACCACCTGTGTGTGTGTGTGTGTGTGCACACACACACACACACAAAAAAAAAAAAAAAAACTTATACTTGTTAGCAAAACCTGCCATCCATTCATTCCATTTTAAATTATAACCTGCTCTATTTCTCTTTTATGGATAGCAACAGCCTGTGGTGTACAAAGTGGTAGGACTGGACCTGGTGCAGCAATTCAAAATACAGAAAACCACTCACTGTTTAAAAGCACTTTAAAGACAACAGCTCAACAGCTCCTTTACTTCATAGCAGTTTCAAATGTCCACGTCAAAGGTGCGGTGAAAAGCTGGATGTCATCACTTCCTAGCTTCATCCCACTTTTTTTTTTACTGTGATGAAACATACACATGGGGAAACTTACCTTTACCATTACAATTTTAGAAAATAATGTGTGCTAATAAAATTCTCTGTGTAGTTCTATGTCCCATCTTATGTTCTATGCTAGTCACACTAGCTTAGTTGTTAAAAAACCTGTAACTCATACCATTTGATAGGATGTCTCTTCAGAATTTTTTCAGTTGATCCAAAACTTAAAGGGCCCATGGCATGCTTTTCTGTTTTTTGATTTATCTACAATTTTACGTATGTTTTAGTATTTCTATGCAGAAGCAACTGAGTTTATACACATCTCGCAAACTCTCGCTCATTACTTTTTTTCTAACTAAAAGTATTACATGATATATGCAATATTTATGCAATCACTTATTTCACATTACTTTGTAGAAACCTGTTTTCACTTTGACATTAAAGAGGTTTCTGTAATTTCTTCTGTCAAAAATTATATGGACCATGACGGATTTATAAAATCAATAAAAGGGTAAACCTTCAAGGGGATGAATAATTTTTATTGGCACTCCTATAGGCATATCGAAATAACCTTTGTCAGCACTATAAAACCCAGCATTACTCATTTGATGTTAGATCAGTTGCTGTAAAATATACTGTATGGTTATGCTAAAAATAAACAATTTCCATACATATAGTTTCTAGATCCCTCACCACCTGTAAATAACAGTAGGATTCTATTTCATTCAACACGATTCTAACTTTATTCACCCTGTCCCAAACTGTCCAAATCATATCAAACAGAAGCCCAGCATTTACATTATTATGGTGTCCATTTACAAAACCACATGGATTTTCTTCTAATTCTTCTTCTCTACTTGATGCTTACATAGACTTCAAATATATACTGGATACCATTCTCCTCCTGCAGTCCTTTTGGCACTCCTGGAAACCTGTGGGAGAAACAAACCTAACTTTCAGAAACATAAATGATAAAGGATTAAGGGCAGTGTTAGTGTATAATTCATCATTCAAGAGAGGTTACCAATTTTAGCAGCCATGTGTATTACCTGACACACCTGGAGAGCAATTAGTGAGAAAACATTTTATTACCATGATTTTTGGAAAAAAATAACAACTTTGCACAAGGTATCTTTTGAAAATCTGTCCCTTGTTTCCATTGGGAAGGGTACCGAACAATAAACAAGCTTCTGGAAATTTATCAGTATTAAAAACAGTATTGAACACAAATTAAAGCTGTTTTGGTTAGTTTCCTGATGTACTGATGGTGTGTATTTTTCTAGTGGCCTCTATTTATTGCACACGCACAGACAAGAAAAAGTAATGGCACTTCTTGCAATTTCCTGGTTTTCAGCATAAATTGGTTATGAAATGTGATCTGATCTTCACCAAAGTCACAAATATCAAGAAACAAAATTTCTAACCTTATAAAACACAGTCATGATCTTTCATGTCTTTAATGAACACACAATAAATATACAAAGTGATGGTAAAGTAAACTGTTTTAATAACTGGCTGAACCACCTTTGGCACCAATAACCTCAAGCAAGCACTTCCAGTAGCTGTGGAGTAGACCTGCAAAATGTTTAGGAGAATTTTGGATCATTCTTCATCACAGAACTGCTTCAGCTTAGCAATTTTCTTAGGACCACTGGTGTGAATGGCTCTCTTGATGTCATTGCACAGCAGCTCTATTGGGTTGAGGTCTGAACTCTGACTAGGTCACTCTGAAAGGCGGATTTTTAGTCTCCAAAGCCATTTTGTAATAGATTTACTTAGATGTTTAGGGACATTGCCCTGCTGCATCACCCAGCTTGTTTTGAGCTTCAGTTTGCAGACAGCCACCCTGACATGATCCTGTAGGATACCTTGATAAACTTGGAAATTCATTTTCCCTGCCAAAATGGCAAGCGGTCCAGGTCCAGAGGTAGCACAGCAGCCCCAATTCATGATTCTCCCTCCACCGTACTTCACTGTTAGGATGCTGTTTTCAGGTTGGCACACGGTTCTCTTTTAATGCCATATGTAGTGCTGTGTGTTCTTCACAGAGAATTCTACCTTTGTTTAATGTGTCCACAGAATATTTTCCCAGTAGTATTATGGTGTGTCAAGATGGCCTTTGGCAAACTTCAGGCATGCTGCAATGTTATTTTTGGAGAGCAATGGCTTCCTCCGTGGTGTCCTGTCAGGAATATCATGGCTATTCAATGTTTTGCATATGGTTGACTCATGAACAGAGATGTTAACTAACTCCAATGAATCCTTCAAGTCTTTGGTTGTTACTCTAGGATTCTTTTTTACCTCACTGAGCATTTTGCATGGTGCCTTTGGAGGGATCTTGGCTGGGTGCCCACTTCTATGGAGTAGCCACGGTACCAAATTGTCTCCATTTATAGACAGTATGTCTACCTGTGGATCAATGAATATCTAAAGTCTTTGAGATGACTCTGTAACCCTTTCCAGCTACATGCCAATCAACAGCAATTGATGAGATCTCTTTTTTGTGAGGCATGCCCCACATCACCATCATTTTTGTTACTTCCTCAGTATGCTGTGTGTCTCTTCTCTGTGTGGCATGCACACACAAACTTTTGCAGGTCCTCATTTCAGCAGGGATGTGTGTCTACTGTACCTCCTCTTTCCTGTGTCTGCATTTTTCACTCTTTTAGATGCAAAATCACTTCTCCCCATTCTTTTCAATACAATTATTTCACATTTTATTCTTACACATGTACGTTCTTCATGCTCCTTCCTGCGAGTCAGTGCAGAAATGAGGGAGCTGTCCCACACTTCTTCTTTTTCTTATGCTGAGAACTTCCCCTTAAGGTGAGGCAACAGGTTCTGCACAATCCCCAAGTCACACGAGTGGGTTTTTGTACCAGAACCCTGCTATTCTCAGGGTTGACCATTAGAGGGTGCTGTCCTCCACCTCATTGGTCCCCAGCTCCACCATCCACCCATCAAAGGTGCTCCCATGTCCAATACACATCCACTGAAGAAATTTGTTCCCTGAAAGGAGAGTGTGGCTCTGTGTTCCTCACTTCACTAAGCAAGTGCACTGATATTTCCTGCATAGGCCATGCAGGACTATAACACTTTGTGGCCTGTTGTCTTCTGACCAGTGTCCAATCTTACAGTACACATTTTTTATTTCCAGGTTTCCATGCTGTTTCCTGGCTTATCATCCTTTTAACCCACCTGGCAGCTCTGATTGTAATTCTTGGTGGTCGAGCAAGCAACGTGAAGTTGCTGCTATTCCCATAAATCATTTCCAACAAAGCAAAGCAGAGCTGCTGCTGCTAGCATGCAAATGAATGAGAGAAGAGGCTTCATTTTCCTTCTCATTCCAAATTCTCCTCCTCACACTCAGCTTCTTCTTTTATTTCCAACAAGGTTTCCTCCCCTTTTTCTTCTCTTCCCCGACTTCACCTCCCCCATCATCCACTCCGTCAGTCGTCCATCCAGTTTCAGTGACATGAATTTATTCCTCAGCTCTGAATCGCACTGAAACTCAATCAGCTCCATCTGAATGTGATCAGGGACACAGTCCACACTTGTGCTGAAGGGTTGGGAAAACAGCTCCATGTCACCTGAATTCTTCCTGAAGTCCTGAAAGCGCATTTCAAACTCCAGGTCTAGGTTGCTGACAAGTGTTGCATATTCAGACAGTTTCTGTTGTACCAGGTTTACCTCTCTCAGACTGGGGAAGTGAGCCAGGTTTCCTGAAAAGAAGTAAAAAGTAATTAATAATTATCAATGCAATAAATATTGCAATTTTCACTCACTAGTAATGTCATATTCCACATATCATACAACTGACAGTTCTGTTCCTCCGCATCACATGATCACATTACCATTAAAATTATGTATTTTGTGCAAGGCATTAACTCACCTGCTGACAGATGTCGACACAGTAGCTGCAGTTTTCTCTGAAAGGCCGTTATGTGGTCAAACATCTCCGTAATAATTAGCTGAGAGGCTGATCTGGGAGAAAGCTCTGGCCTGAGCGGGACACACTAGCTTTGCAGCCGTGGATAAGCATTCTTTAACAAAGTCCCCTGTAGAAAATGAACGTCCACTCCTGGCAATTAGAGCTGAAATCTCATAGCTGGCCTGTGTTGCACTTTCCTGGGCTGACGAGGGTCGTGTGAGCGTAGTTTAGCTAACAACTCTCGGCTCTTTGTCTTCCGTGCCTTGCCTTTGAACCTTGAGAATGCTGCATGCCTCGTTTCATAGTGCCGGCGGATATTGTACACATCTCCCAGGCCAATTGATTTCGCACACAGCTGTTCTTGGTGCAGGATGCAGTGGTATTGTGCCACCTTACCTCCACACTGGGCAACCTTCTGAGAAACTAGAGTGGTTAGGCCCGCTTTCCTCCCAATCATGGCAGGCGCTCCATCTGTTGTTATCTCGGCCATTTTCTCCCACCTCAAACCATTCTTATCCAGGACTCTCTCAACCGCTGCAAACAAATCCTCGCTTTTAGTTGTGCCACGCAGTGTCTCAGCTCCAGCAAGCTCCTGTTATTTCCATATTTTCACGGACACCCCGTATGAAAACCAAAAGCTGAGCTGAGTCCGAAATGTCCGTACTCTCATCGCACGCTAATGAAAAGGCAACAAATTCAGCAGCCTTTGCTTTGAATTGCTCCTTAACGTTTTAACAAAGTCCCCTGTAGAAAATGAACGTCCACTCCTGGCAATTAGAGCTGAAATCTCATAGCTGGCCTGTGTTGCGCTTTCCTGGGCTGACGAGGGTCGTGTGAGTGTGTTTTGTTGTGAGCGAAGTTTAGCTAACAACTCTCGGCTCTTTGTCTTCCGTGCCTCGCCTTTGAACCTTGAGAATGCTGCATGCCTTGTTTCATAGTGCCGGCGGATATTGTACTCTTTTAGCACAGCGACAGACTGACTGCAAATTAAGCAGACCGCCTTAGAATTAATATCCGTAAAAAAATATTCTTCCTCCCAGGTTCGTTTAAAATGCCTTTTGTCTGCGTGCCACTGTCTACTACTCTCCATGTTGCTTGCTACTGCTCCGTTCTTCGTGTTGTTCTTCTTCTTCTTCATTTTTTTATTGGTGGGTTGTGAGCTGAGCTGGGAGCTGCTTGACCTGACAACTGGGGTGGCATAATAAATTGTGGGGGGCCAAGAAATGTCCCCGCGGGCCCCACTTTGGGCACCCCTGATAAAATGCTTCCAGTATGTCTGGAGACTCCCCTGCTGTCACCCTGACTTAGGGCTTTCCCTTGCAGGTGAACACACAGACGGCTTCCAGGTGTTTCCTTGTTTCCTCCCACGGGCTTGAGGCATCATAATCATAGGCTATTATTCTGGCATCCTCCTTGCAATGCCCATCTAAAACACACTTTAATTTTTTGCTGGTTGTCCAGACTGAATAGCCTGCAACCAGTATTTCAGTATACTGGTGCAGGGCTGTTCCATAGATGTCTGGTTTATTAAAATCCCCGCAGACTTCTTTGTTTTGGGGCTCAATCTATTCCACTGTTTCTCCAAGTGGTTCCAAGTCTGTTACTTCTTTTCTTTTATTATGGTCAGGCCTAAACGCTCCCAAGAGGTGAGCTCCCAAGGCCCTAACCAGCCCCCTTCTCCTGACTGCTGTTGGCAGGCCTCGTATAACACTTTGATGTCCTCTTCCGGGTCTGCGGTGGATCCAACATAGACCCTCAGCTGCCCCTCACACCTGCTTCTAGGTGTGACTGCCATAGCATGATGCCTGTCACTACGCCAACAATATTCAAATGTTGCAACAGCATCCGAGGGCCCAATCTCTGGGCCAAACTGGTTCACTTTTAATTCTGGTATCCCTCTTCCTCTGGCTGATACTCCCTTCTTATGTCGGCTCTGTGTACTTCAGAAGGGGATCGGCAAATTTCCTTATTTGCCACCCATCAGCCTCACCAGCTCTGATGAGCAGTTCCATTGCCACAGCCAGCTCACACCTCTTACAGTCCAACACTTTTTCCCCATCCCACAGGCACTCACAGCCTCTCTCTTTGGCTATCCACTGAATCATTATCTTTAATTGAGGGAGCATTCTGAGTCGGCATCGTGGGCAAAAAGGAACATCTAATACCTTTACTGGCTGGTGTGTTTCAGGGGTCCATGCTTGCCCTCTTCTATTTTTGTACAGTCAGACCAGATTATTGAAATTCCAAGGTGCTGGAAGCAACAGGCGCAAAATCCATCATGCCATTTCCTCCAGCGCACCTGCTCATTTTCAGAATTCCTCATGGCCATCTTCCACTTTTCCAGCTTTTCCAGTCCTATCCAAAGTTTTTTAAATCCTTTTCTCAAAATAATCAACCCCTGAATGTTGGCTACTCGTATCCTAGGGGGTAAACTGTGCATGCTCATGGCCATTTCTTTTAGCTTCTGGTTCCTTTCAGAAAAGTGTTGGTTCAGCTGCGTCACTCTGGACCCCGTTATCTTTCAAACACAAGTTTAAAAATCTAAACAGCATTATGTTGTTTGTCACACTTGAGGGCACCTGGGTTACTTCCAGCACTCTGATGCTCCAGTGCTTCTCATTTGCACCCTTGGCTTTTCATCATTTCATTAGGCCTGTGGCTCCCTCCACCAACAGGCACTTTTTTTCCCCCTTGCATTCTGCCATCCACGTTTCATGTCTTCAGTACCACTTGTACCCTTTTTTCTCTGAAATGCTGCAGCTGTTCCAACCCTCCACATGTGGCCAGTTTTTGTTGCATGACCTCTGTCCTCATGGACTGCCTCCCATGTCAGCCACACAACAACTAGGAACCTCCTTTTTTTCTTGGAGTGTCCCTCCACCCCCTAGAGCTGACCGATGATACCCTGTGAGCCTGAACACATTAGTACACCTTAGCGTTACCTTACCAGTGTTTCCTCCAGGTATGTGCGCTTCCTGATGCACTACCTCAAAGTCAGTGCCCATCCTTTTCCCTTTTTTCCTCCACAGGTTGCTGTGGGCCACAGCCTTGCCCCCAGCCTCCTCAATTCCACTTACCATCATGTGGTCAGTCATTTCTCCTTCTGAGGTCGAGGTATCACAGTCACCTTATCTGGCTGCTCCAGGTTGGATCAGTCTTGTTCCCCCGCCATGGCCTGTGACGATTAACGGTTAGACCTCTCCCACTATGGTCTTATGCGGGTAACCGGCCGGTTTGCCCGCAGGGCCCGTGACCTGCGTGCCACATCTGCTGCTGGGTCTTTTTGACCTTCGTACATCATATGCGAACCCACTTTGGCAGTTAACAGGCAGGGGTTTTGTCCAGCACTGCGCAGACAGGTGGCGTTCAGACCTCACCTCCCTGTCCTCTGCCCTGACTCACAAGCTCTTGGGCAGGAAGTTCCCTTCATGGGCTGCTGGCACGAGCTCCTCCTCTCTGGATAAGGGCCTCCAGAGTAAAGCTTTTCCTGCAAAGATCCATGTCTCCAGTACTTCTGCTTTGTCCTTTGCACCCAAACACACAAACAGCCAAACCTGCCTTTCTGGCAAAAATTCAGCTCTGTTCTCTTTCTGTTCCTCCATGGGAACTGCCCAGGGCCCGATGGCCGGGCCTGTGCTCACCTCCTTAGGCAGAGGCTTCAATGCTGAGTTCTTCCTACAAAGACTCTGATTTCCAAGTGCCCTCAATACTTTGAAATCCCAACGTTCCTTCCTCAAGCCACACAGAGGTTGTTCCTCTTCCTCCATGGGGACTGCCCTGGGCACGGTGGCCTTGCCTGTGCTCACCTCCAGCCTCACCTCTCTGTCCTCTGCCCTGACTTACAAGCCCTTTGGCAGGCAGCTCCCTTCACGAGCTGCTGGCATGAGCTCCTCCTCTCTGGATAAGAGCCTCCAGAGTAAAGCTTTTCCTGCAAAGATCCATGTCTCCAGTACTTCTGCTTTGTCCTTCGCGCCCTAACACACAAGCAGCCAAACCTGCCTTTCTGGCAAAAATTCAGCTTTCTTCCTCTATTTCTGTTCCTTCATGGGAACTGCACCTCTTTAGGCAGAGGCTTCAAGGCTGAGCTCTTCCTGCAAAGACTCTGATTTCCAAGCGTCCTCAGTACTTCGAAATCCCAGCCTTCCTTCCTCAAACCCCACAGAGGTTGTTCCTCTTTTAAATTTTGATTTTATATTTTTCTTGACACAGGAGCTGTGTCCATAGGTGACTTCTTTTTCACTTCCTCATCTGCAGAGTCAGACACAGACTCAAAACAGCAGGTTAGTAATTATCATTCAATATCATTCTTTCACTTGTTATCCAGATCAGAGAGAGCTCAACACAAAAAGTACTATTTTTAAAGTAGCATCGTGCCCACCCAGGGACACCATGTATGAAGGCCACAATATGCTAACCCCTGGACATAGGAGTAAAGCATAACCTCTCACACTAAGGTGGCATATTTGAAACATATTAAAGCTCCAAACACTGCTTGAGGATTTATGGCAAAGATATTCACTCAGTAATTAACTATCATGAACCTTCAAGCAGCATTCCCTGAAGACCTCCCTCTTTCATGTTATTAATTCAGGATAAAACCCCAAACCTCCCAAATAACAACAACCTGCAGTTATTGTGGCAGCTACCTCCTTAAACCCGCAGATGTTACTGTACTGAGAAACTTTTATAAACCAGTACACTCTGGCTCTTTGAGGAAGTGTTAAATTTTGTCTGAAATAACCAATGAAAGCTGTGTCACTGGACACTTAAGACCACATTTGTTTTGCACAGTATTTATTTGACATAGGATGTTATTAAGGATAGGATATTTAAAGAATAGTGTGTATTATGTAACAAGTAAACAACTGGATATTTTAGATAAACCCTTTTCTGATGTATCTGTCTAAAAATCATTTCAGCAGTTCAATCTTGACCTTTCTCTTCTGCCTTCTCTGTATCTTGGTGCTCTTTGAGGCCTGTTTTTACAGCCTTGCTGACAAACTATATAGTGTGGTCTGCCTTTAGCAAGGGGAAGGAGGGCTCTCTGCATCAGCTGTGTGCTTGGCCAGCAAGTGGTATTTGAGACTCTTGTGGTAACTCAATTTATAGACAGTAAATACAAATAACTTTGGTCTTGTCGAGAGAACCATCTGGCAGGGCTTTGAAGCTGAACTTGCCATTCAAAAGACCCTTTTGTTCATCCATTCCTGAAATTCCTGCTGCTGAATCGCTTCACGATTTCCCAAACTATGTAGTGGGTCAAGTGTCATAATCACAGAAAATGTGCGCTAATTGCGCATCAAAAAATTTGTAACATTAAAAGGAATTTGCTTTAACTTGTTAATTATCACATTAAGTTTGACAACCCTAATGTATTTATGTTATATCTATTTGGCATCTTTATAGAATTATTATGTGCATCTAAGAGGGGTGTGGTTAACAAAGGTGATTCATATCGACTGGCTGGAGCACTGCTTTCCTCTGGTTGGAAGGCTAAAGGTAACTGTTGGTGGATGGAGTGGATGGAGAAAATGATTTTCTACATACCTGATGAAGGTCAGACAGACTAAAACATTGTGGATTTAATAAATTATTTAGTCTAAGCTAGACTATTTATGCTTTTGCTATTCCCATGATTTTTAAATGCATTGGGATTTGCATTTGAAACCTACTGAACAAATGAGGTTTTCCACTGTGAAGTCAGTCAGGTTGCCAGAAGAAAGCTAGTCAGTTTAAACCTGAGTCGTTGTCTGACTGCTTAAGTTTCTTGACCCAAGATCTCAGCAATCAATATGGTAAGCACAATATTAGAGCTGTACCTGACTAAGAATTTTGTTTCTGGAGGTTTGGAAAATATCATTAATATTTTTTTGGTGAGCATCCCCTGGTTTCCTCTTCTTAGGTGGTGCCATGCTCACATTAATCTTAATAGCAGCCAAATGACTTAGTCACATTTTACTAATGTTAGATGCTTTATGAGAAATCATCTCGCATTTACCCAAACTTCATCACAACACAGATTCACTCTGTGATGATTACTTAGCAATCAACTGCATTATGTTAAACTATTATAACAACAACGACATTGCGGTTCCTCAAGAAAATAAATAAATAAATAAATAAATATCACAAACTTATGTAACTTGGAGAAGCCTGGGTGAAGAATCAGTGAAGACAACACCTTGTTTCCATAAACCTCGGTGTATGCATGAAATCTGGATGGAATTATATTAATAAAAAATTTGTAAAAAAGAGCCTCTAGTGTAGGCATAGCAAGGGTCTCATTGGCATGGCGATAGGGGAAACATTGACCATATTATCATAACCAAAAGAAATGGTGGCTAAAACAGCCAAATAAGATAAGTTGTAATAAGCCTAAATTACCCACAAAAGTGTGCAGAACATTTGTGCTGATCTTACTCTGGCAGTAGATGAAACTTTTCTGGATCGATTTCAGGGAAGAACGTGTCGCACTCAAACTGCTGTTGGATTCGTGTGACGAACAGCCTTTTGGTCCCCGGGTACTCCATCAGCTCCTGGGTTACCAAAAACAACCACAATAGTATTACAGCAAAAAAAGGGGTGTGTATACACAGAGGCATGCGTAGTTTCAGCTTATCCTTTGGTGACTGACACTGACCATACCTGACAGCTGTAAACACTGTGACAATAAAATCATATACTGGATATTATTTTTTATTGTAAATTTGTAAGCAGATACTCAAGCTTCATTGGTTTCCACCAAGACTCAAATTAAAAAATAAAAATTGAAAATTAAAAACAGAAAAATTAAAGCATTTGTGAGACACCAGTAAAATTTCCCAACATTGTTTGAATATTTTACATATATTAAAACATCCCGTAACCTGTGAGCCGTCTGGGTGTTCCATACAGTACCTTGTAGAGAGAAGTGCCTCCTATAACCCAGACCTGGTCAGCCTGGTCTGCCAGCTCTGTGTTGATGAGCTCAAGAGCTGAGCTGAAGCCTGCTGCTAGGTGGTGTGCTCCTGCAGGGGGGGCTCTGGGGGAATATTGGCAGTTATATTATGTCACTGTTAAAACTGATTACATAGCAGAAGTTAAGAGCTGCACACCTTGCAAAACCAACTTAGAGATGCAAAAAAAAATAATCTTCAAAGAGTTTACTGCAAAATCACCACATAATCCAAAAATGGACAACAAAGAAACATCCCTTAAGACAAATGTTTCGCTATTTACATCTTCATTGGTATCTCAGGGAAGGTGCAATTAAAGGTAACCACACTTGTGTTTGTTGGTTTTGGCATGAGGAAAGCTGCCTTTGCAAGACAGGAAGAACAGCCAATAGTTTTCTTCTGGGGAGTATACAATTGGTTCTCACAATGTATTTTTTACTTATGTTTTGGGGTCTATAATGTGAAGTGGGGGAACTCTGAAAAGATTTTGGATTGTTAAGACTGAGCAATGGTTTGATAGAAACTAATATTTCAGTTGAGCATGAAGGTTACAGTGTGCATCCTACTAAAGGGACGTCATATTTCTTATTGGATTAAAGGGTTAGCTCACCCAAAGACCCAAAACATATTTCCACCTTTACCTTTAGTGGTACCTATCCATCCAGATAATTTTGGTTTTGCCAAAGAGGTGTGTTTAACCAAGAGTTGTGTGAAATTTCTATAACAAAGGAATAAACGTACTCTTAGGTTTTTTGAGTTGTTGATGTAATGTAATGTTTGTTTTATTACTTCCCCTAGTCTATCTTACCGGGTGGACTGGCCAATATACAGTCATGGCCAAAAATATTGGCACCCCTGCATTTCTGTAAGATACTGCACCAATTCCTGCACTGAAAATTGTTGCAATCACAAATTCTTTGGTATTCTCCTATTTATTTCTTTTGTTTGCATTGCAACAACACAAAAAGTTGAGAAAAAAAAAGCCAAATCTAATACATTCCACACAGAACTCCAAAAATGGACTGGACAGAATTACTGACACATAATATTTGGTAGGACAGTTTGGACAAAATAAGTGAAATCAGTCACTTCCTGTAACCATCAGTGAATTTCTTATACCTCTCTACTGGACTTTTGGATCACTCTTCTCTTGCCAGGATCTAGGTCAGTCAGATTTGAAGGGTTCCTTCTCCCTTTGTGTTGGGTCAGTTTAGATTTTTTTCCGTTAGGTTACGTTTCGTATGTTCCATTGTAACAGTAGTCTGTCCATTATTTATCAGATGTCATTTACTTGAGTTGTAGTATTTAGCTGATGTCATTTACAGGCCTTTAATAGAAATTTTTTTTTTTTGGTGATGTTGTTTTCCTGTTTTTGGCTAAAAATAAAAACCCACACTTCTGATCAAACAACCTGTGCAGTCCTCATGCCTACCTGCTCGGTATAGGTATCTACAAAGCTCAGTTCTCTTCTAACTAAAATTATAGTCTTGATTTTTTTTTTTTTTTTTACTTCTACAAGCTACATTTTAGTATATTAATAGAATTCCAAGGAGAAAATTTTGTTGAATCACAGTATGAATTTGTACATAAAGCTGCAGTGTACCTGACTTTCCCCCAGGATCAATAAAGTCTCTACTTTACAGTAAAATATTATATTTCATATGTATACTTCATGTACACACTGTTGTGTGGCAGCATGTGACACATACATGCACTCCCTGCTGAGGACAATGTTGATCCTGTCTTTCAGAGGTCTGTGCTTCTCTGGAATGGAAAACCACGTCTTTCTGCCCATGAGTACCACATTCTGTTTGCCTGCAGGACAGCAAGGTTTGAAATAATTAGGGTAACTGCTTTTGATGTACAAGTAATTCTAACAGAATTCAAACTTACATTCACTTCACATTTTCAGTTTATTAACAATCTTGCAATAAATGCTATCTTCATGTTTTGTCCCTAGCTGCTGAATAAATAGTTACAAAGCCAGACACGTCCTCACAGAACTGGAGTTACAGCTATTACTATTTTTTATTAGTGATAGTGTTATCAAGGCTGCAATATACTGAGCAAGTTCCTTATAACATTTGCCATAATGAGAATAAAATTAACAAACTCTAAACCCTGCAGCTGTTGTTTATTCTGGTCCGTCATATCACCTACAGGTTTATTATTCTTTCTCGTCTCAGTGTCCTATGGTCTATATAGAGAACTGTACATTTAAATATTTTATTGTATGAGGAATAAAACTTCCCATAAGTAAAAATAATCTTCTCATTAAATACAAAATGGTATAAAATATAAATAAAACCTTGACCTCTGTACCACTGAAAACACCGATTCATTTATTAGCTAACCTCAACAAAGTTACTACAAGTCACCTTTCACAGATGGAGTCGCTGTCATCTTTTGGAAATGTCTGAATTCGTTACTATAAAGAAAGAACATTTGTTAGGGTGATTTTTATTTTATGCACTTAAGAATGGTTTATTTTATAGCACACATAAGTTTACATACTTATATGTCACAGTTATGTTTATATAGTTATGAATATCACCCTACAGTGGGTACGGAAAGTATTCACACCCCCTTAAATTTTTCACTCTTTGTTATATTGCAGCCATATGCTAAAATCATTTAAGTCCATTTTTTTCCTCAATGTACACACAGCACCCCATATTGACAGAAAAACACAGAATTGTTGACATTTTTGCAGATTTATTAAAAAAGAAAAACTGAAATATCACATGGTCATAAGTATTCAGACCCTTTGCTCAGTATTTAGTAGAAGCACCCTTTTGAGCTAATACAGTCATGAGTCTTTTTGGGAATGATGCAACAAGTTTTTCACACCTGCATTTGGGGATCCTCTGCCATTCCTCCTTGCAGATCCTCTCCAGTTCTGTCAGGTTGGATGGTAAACGTTGGTGGACAGCCATTTTCAGGTCTCTCCAGAGATGCTCAATTGGGTTTAAGTCAGGGCTCTGGCTGGGCCATTCAAGAACAGTCACAGAGTTGTTGTAAAGCCACTCCTTC